AGGTGGGTGGTACTGGTGTCTATTGAATGCCTTTGGAATACTGCATTAATCTGCACAATTATGTTATCTTTGTATTTCACAATGACTATAACAAACACAGTAATTGTTTTTGCTTTTCTGAAGCCTTAATAAGATGTAATTGGCAAATAAAAATTGTATGCATGTACCATGTTCAATGACATATAGGTATTTGTATAAATTATGAAATTAACATGTTAATTATCACATGAAAACAGTCACATATACATAAAGTAAGTATAATTTTCTTTTCTTTTAAAATTAAAGATAAACTTATTGCCATTGATATTGATTTTTATTTAACACATTTCTCCTATACTATTTTCCTTCTTTTCCCGTTATTATTTTATATTCTTTAAATACTGATGACAGTATCTGGGAGGATGAGTAACTGTAGAATAGGAAAGCAAAGAAGCACATGCTTGCTGTAGTAGTTTGATGTGTGATTTCTTGCTTTATGAAGAATAAAGCACTTGAAGTGGACCTAATATAGAATTTCATAGAAGAAATGAGTGAAGAGTTTTTCATGAGCTGTTTGTGGATATGAAGAAATTCAGAATCTCTTTACATAGTGGTGAATGTATGTAAAGGAGTACGGTTTTTCCACCCGCCGCTCGGTCTTGTCCTGCTGTCGCACCAGCCCCAATTAACACACAGAGACTCTGTATTTGATGTAATTTTGTTGGCCCGTTACTAGTTCCTTATCGGCTAGCTCTGTCTTAATTATTAATCCATTTCTATGTATTTCCACGTGGTCTTACCAGCGAGAGGCGGCTGGCCGTTCTGTATTCTCCAGACTCTCCATCTTGAACCTCCTTCCTCCTTCCTATTTCCTCCTTGTCTCCTAGTCCCTCCTATCTTCCTTTCCTATTGGCCAACAGTGCTTTATTATTAACCAGTATGAGAAACATATACAGAATGACATCTCCCATCAAATGTATAGTGAGTATATTTGGTAGAATTAGACATAAGTTTGGGAAAGTTATAAATAATTCTAAAAGGGTAAACTGGAACAAGATTATTTCTTGAATTCCATTTTTTAAAAACATCTTTAATACATTTTTAGAGAGAAATTGATTTTTCAATAGGAGAATGGCATTGCAGCACTAACAAGCAAGCTATGAGTGCTGCTGGGAAGATGAGGCTCTGTGGTTAATAGTTCATACTGCTTTTCCAAAGAACCAGAGTTTAGTTTCCAGCTCCCATATTAGGTGGTCCACAACTCTTTGTAACTCCAGCCCAGGAGCTCACGTTCCTCTGGTTTTCCCAGCTCCTGAACACAGGTAAACATATCCCATTTCCCATACACATAATAACCAAGTCTATCTATGAGAGTTATCTATGAGAGAGACTTTGGAATATGATAGCTTCATCTTGGCAGGAGGTAACTGATGATGCAAATTAGAGAGTTTGTAATTGACTTAGAGCTCATGCTTGCAATAGTGTTGTCATGTTTGGGAAAACAACATTTCATAGCACCCTTCCCCATTCTCCATTTCTTATATTCTTTCTGCCTTTTCTTTTGTCGCATTCCCTAAGCCATGGTGGTAGTGATGATGTCCCATGAGAGATGAGTAAATACTTTGGCCAGGTCCACATCTCTCTATCAACTGCTGTCTGCAGTAAAGGTTGACCAGTGTTGAGAGCAGTCCAGGCATATGGGTATAAACATAAGGTTTTTACAGTGTGGTTGTTCTATCATTATAAAGAAGTACTGTATTTCACGGACTTCAAAATACAACATAGTCAGATGTTTTTGTCAGTTTCTTCCGATACTTGTGCCGACAAAAATTAATAGGAAAACATATTCACAGCAAAAATATACCAATGTTACAGTCACAGATATTTAACCTTTTTTTTTTTCTCAATCAGTCCAACCTCATTATGAATTCGGATGCAAGAATGGCAGCAAATGCATTCCTTACCCAAACTAGAATCCTGATTCCTGTAAGCCCTAGGGTTCATATGATGTTTTAGTGTTTCCATTGCTTCGATGAAACACCATGACTCAAAAGCAAGTAGGGGAGGAAAGGGTTTATTTGGCTCATACTTCCACATTGTAGTCCATCACTGAAGGAAGCCAGGAGAGGAACTCAAACGAAGCAGGGTCCTGGAGGCAGGAGCTGGTACAAGGACTGTGAAGAATTGGTACATACCAGCTTGCACCCCGTGGCTTGCTTAGCCTGCTTTCTTATAGAACCCAGGACCACCCGACAATGGAAGGCACCACTCACAACGGCTTGACCCTGCCCCATTCATCACTAATTAAGAAAATGGCCGATTGGCTTGTCTACCGCCAGATCTCATGGAGACATAAGATCTCTCAGATGATTTTGGCTTGTGTCAAGTTGACGTAAAACTATACAGCGCATATGGATTCCCTAATGAGCATGCTCATTAATTCCTTGTGTGTTCACATGTGTGTTTGTCTGTGTGCTCATGCATGTGTGTGAGGATGTTTTCTTATGGAGGCCAAAGGACAGCCTCAAGCACTGTCCACCTTCTCTTTGAGGCAGGGTCCTTCACAGGCTGCAGCTCACCAAGTAGACTAGGCTGGCTGGCCAGAAAGGCCCAAGGATGTGTTTGTCTTCCCCTCACCAGTGCTACATGGGTAATGGGAGCCAAATTCAGGTCCTTGGGCTTCTGCCCCTGTTTCCCATCACTGGGGTGACTTTCTCTTGTCGCCACAGCTGGCTTTTTTTTTTTACATGGAAACTTGGTATTTGAACTCAAGTCCTCATGCTTGCCTGATAAGCACTTTAGTGAGCGAGCCATGCTCCAAACCCTTAAAGAACCTTTTCTAATCGCAGTTTAACTTTTTGTACTCCCTTCTTTGGATTTCATTATACTTCTTGGCTTACATTGAGACTTTGATTTAACCCTAACTTTAGGGCTTCTGCTGCATCTTGTTTGTTAGGATTTACACTGATTTATGTAAAAGGATCCTGAGAGTGAAAAGTACATTCTTTTTCCTGAGCCCAGTATTTTTCCAGGTCCTACTGAAGCAAGATAATTCCCAAATTTTATGTATGTGTGTGACAGTGCATACATGTGTGTGTGTAAATGTGTGCATGTGCACATATGTTAGTGCATGTATGTAAGTGCATGTGTATTTTCCCCAGCATTAGAAACTGAATGAGGTAAATATGAAGCTTGAAAGTTCTGACAATATTCACTGAAGTGTATAAGCAGAATGTAACATTGATGTCTCTGTAGTGACTTAAAATTATAAGTATTTTATATGTGAAATTTAAAATGTACAGTCATACATCATTTACATTTTTGTTAACTGACCTCCTAAATGAAATTTAATATGGTATATAACTCTGCTCATTCAATTATGAAAATGTTGCCTATATAATCTAATTATTTAAATCAATCATCATTGCCAACCTCTTTCTTATGGCATAACTTACCTGTCAGTAACAAGCCTGACTTCATTTTCACATGTTAATACTTTGTATGAAAATATCACATCTCTGAATTCCAGTTGTGAGATATATAGATTAACTTGTAACAAGAAGACATTCAGAAAGGTACAGAGCCTTCCCAGGATGAAATAAAGATGTTTCCCTCCAATTTTTCTTGCTTAACTCTTAATGTACTTCCTAGCAATTCTTTCTTGAATTACCCTTGTTTTCTAGGGATTTCTATAGTCAATGCATTGTAATGAAATTTGGAGTATGTGATGGAAGTATGCTTTCTTCTTTGAAAGTAGAAACAGTCACTTGGAAGAGAAAAGACAAAGGAAAACTGGTGGATGGCAGTTTAAATGCATTCTTAGGCAGATTGGTTTTGGAAAGTTGTGAATGATACTTGGGGATTTGGAAGTAAATTCCATTTAAATATATGTATCTGTATCACCCATGAAATGACTTTGTTTAAATTAACTTGAATATTTATAGGATGAATTATGTCTATGTAATATAATATGTAGCATGGTGATGACAAGAGAAATTGATCATAACATCCAGTATATATTCTCTGGTACTCCCCTCCCTTTATTGAAAGTAGATTTTTTTCCTTATACAATATATCCTGATTACAGTTTCCCCTCCCTTTACTCCTAGTTACTTCTTGCCTCTCCCATCCAGATTCACTCCCTTTCTGTCTCTCATTAAAAAGCAACAATATTCTAATAATAAAATAAGATTAACATCAATTTTGACTTAACATCTCAAATGTAATGTATTTTAAAATATGCAACATTTCTTTAATATCTTTTGTATTAAGTTATGATGCAGCTGAGCACTAGAATCTAACATTTAAAAACATTGTATTGACCATTCATTTATCTATTTGTTAAGTCATTTGAATTCTTTGTATTTTTGCCATGTAAATTCTAATGTACAATTAGGAATTATATGTAACATTGATTTAATTCCCATTGATGTATTATACTGTCTTCTTCTTCTTCTTCTTCTTCTTCTTCTTCTTCTTCTTCTTCTTCTTCTTCTTCTTTTCTTCTTCTTCTCCTCCTCCTCCTTCTCCTCCTCCCCTCCTCCTCCCCTCCTCCTTTTCCTCTTCCTCCCCCCCTCCTTCTCCTCTTCTTCTTCTCTTTAAAGACAAGTACCTATGATAGAGTTGAAAGAATTTCAAATAGTGCTCAGGACCATATAGTCTGTGGCTATAACAAGAAAATACTCTAGCAATCTAGCAGGATCAAAGAGGTTATTATTAATATTAAAACCCACTCGTTGAGGTAGAAGCAGTAGCCATTTTTAGGCAAGCTATTGAAAAAAGTGTGATAGATGGTTTAATAGAACTCTCTTCTTTATCTTTTTGTTGGTAGGTATCCTACTGACTTGCAGGCTGACTTGTGAGTGTGTGCAGTCGGCCTTTCCCCATAGTGCTGGTCTTGCAACACTCCAGCTGGCTGCTCATAATTTCATCAATTTTGATCTGAACAAACAGAGCTCCAAAATAGAAATGCAATGAATATACAAATATTCTACAAATTTTATCTTTTTTTTCCTCCATAGATATGATATCTGCACTTACAAAAATAAGCCCTGTGGAACATTGGGTAAGTTTTTTGTTTTCTGAATAAAGGATAGTTTAGATGTCTTTTTTGAGGCAATGATGCTACTCTTGATTATTATTAATTTGGTTATTTTTCTTTCTGTTACATGGGAAATTACCCCTAAAAATTTTAAACATGACCTTTCTTGTATATATAACTTGCTTTAAACGAAGTTTTTTTTCATAATAGTGAAAAAATTTTTTAATTGTTATTAGTTTTTCATTCTGTCAAATTATATGAGTGAAAGCAACTTAGAAGATTATTTTCAAATCAATAGTACTTATAAATCAAAGTTACCACTTATTTTCATATTTTTTTGTCTCTTTAATACCTTTTCTTAAAAAAAAAGCCAGGGTGTTTGAGACAGATGACAGCTTCTTTAAATTAAGACTAATGAAAGAAAGAAAATAAAACAAACAAATGGGCATACTATAAAAGGAAGTATAAAGATTTATTTGTCTTTTGGTATGGTTCTTTTTTTTTTGAGATATTATTTTAAAAATGTTAGTTCAATCACCAAAGAATTTCATCAAACAGTTTAGCCGGAGGTGGAGAAAGGAGGAATTTTCTTTTGCTTTTTTAAAAATAATTTCAGTAATTATCTTGAATTTTTTAAAAAATGTATTTTGAGCCGGGTGGTGGTGGTGCACACCTTTAATCCCAGCACTCGGGAGGCAGAGGCAGGCGGATGTCTGTGAGTTCGAGACCAGCCTGTTCTACAAGAGCTATTCCAAATCAGTCTCCCAAAACAGAGAAACCCTGTCTTAAAAAACAAAACAATACAAAACAAACAAAAAGTGTATTTTGTACAAACCATCATTTCATATTGACTAAAAGTTAAATGCAAACACAATTGCATCTTCCCAGTAGACAAATAACCAAGCTACTAATGTTATTTTAAGGCACAAGGTTTTTTTCCCTTTGGCAATTTTTAGTGTCATGAAAACTTTTTACAAACTCAATAACTAAAGCAAGAGAAAGTGATTTTTTATTTTTGGACTTCTCTATATCAAGTCTCAGTTTTCTTATCTGTAAATGAATAAGTGAATTCCTATGAATATCCTAAGCATTTGGAAATGTCCAATTAAAGTAGACTTAGGAGGAAAAGTGTTCCCAACTTCCTAGTGGGTCAGTGAAACATCCCTTCTGTGACTGGAATCGCTCTTGGTCATTTTTACATGGCTTCTCCTATCCTATGTTCCTCAAGATTTATAACTAGAGGAGAAATTCCAATTAACCAATGCCTAGTATCAATTAAGACAAAGTTGCTAGTGAAATGCCCATCACAGAAAGAGCTCGTAGGGCATGCTCATGTTGGGGTTTCTTTGTAGTGCTTTAAGAAAAGCTGAGAGAGGCTAAGAGGGAGGTATGGAAAGAGGGAGGGAGAAGGAACTAGGATCGACATGTAAAATACAAAAAGAAAAGTTGACAGAACCTGAAGCCCAGACCAACTTGGATAGTTTCAGTGTATTTGTTACTTTTTTATAATATTTTAAACATTTTTGTTTCTCAGTTTCCTCATTTATGAAGTAGAATACTACCTGCCCTTTTACTAAAGGGATAATTGTTAAAATCAATTAAGAAAAGATGCAGTTGCTTTGAAAATGAATAGTATATTAAAGGAACAGGCATTATTATTTGATACAGAATCACCTGCCATGTTTAATTTAATTCATTTTTTTATTGTTCAAATTCTGTATTTTTAATCGTTTCGTCTGCTTTAGAACCAATGAACAGTAAAGCCTCAAAAAAGTATACATATAAGCTAGAGCTTATATTTTCAAGCATATAAGTTTAATGGAAACAAATACATACATTCTCATTCTGTTCTTCGAAGGTACATTATTTACATTGACAGGCTCTTTAGTCTGACATTAGTAATACAACTACCTAGTACTTTCATTGTCATAATTAGTGATCTGATGTAGTTTACGTCTAATTTGTTCTTTTTTCAAAATAATGTATTATAACTTTAATATTTTATTCATTTCTACAGTCAATAAATTAATTGCTAGGTACATATGAATGTATTCTGAAGCTCATTTATTTGTAAATTTAAATTATTATTTTTGAAAATGGAATAAAATATATACACTTTTATATGTGAAATATATATATAATAGTTTTTACAAATATAGTGAGAAAGTATTTTATTACCTATTTTAGCATCTTTTGTGTTGATATTTATGATGAGTTTTTTTTATAATCTCTTGGTTAATAACGCTAATGACAAGTTATATTAACAGAGTAATTAGGGTTAAGGATGCAAACTGACCACCAAACCGAGGAAATCAAATGACCCAAACAGTAATGAAACCCTGATTAACACTACCACACACAGGAATTTTGACAGCAGCAGTTGTTAGGAAAGTAGAAAATTGTGGGAGTTAATGAAAAAAATAAACTGGTGTTTATCCATATACTAGTTAAGATGTACCTTTATTTTTTTTTTTAAATCAATAGTTATTCTCCAAATAAATCCATTCTAATTTGTTCTTTTGCTTGTTAACATTTTTATATGAGATAGCAGGTAAATATATGCTTATTACTGAGGTGTCAGTGAGAATCCTTAATTCAAAATACAGTCATAGAGCACATGTCAATTCCAACACCAATAAAAGAAAAAACAAACAAACAAAATACAACCCAATTCAGCATCACAATCTTTAGAAAAAACAAAAGGGTACTTTATACAAATTAAGAAACGTTAATATGTCAATAATTGTAAGTAGTAAGCATTTAAAAATGACTTAGAACAGAAACAGTTAGTTCATTATTGTTTTGTTCTTCTCACATGATCTCCCATACTGAACCCAACAGCTTAGAGCCAAATAATGTTTTTATTCTGCATCATGTGTATGTGTGTGTGCTTTTAGTAGAAATCAGAGGCAACATTCATGAATCCATTTTGCCCCAAGTGGTTCTTCTTTTAATTATCTTCTTTTCAGGTCCCCAAACCCTTAGGTGGAATGGAAGGAAGGTCAGCACAGTGTATCACCAGTGTTAATGACAACTCTGAGGCAGAACTAATCCTCTTTCTAACTTCTGCTCATCTTTTATAAAACTGTAGACACAGCTGTATCAGAAAATCCAACACTTACCTTAGCTTTGCCGTGGTGCGACTGTTATTTTAATATCTGTATCAGAAAGAACAGAGAAATACAGTTTCTAGAGCTTCCTTAGTAGAAAACATGGATTGAATAGTGTTGACTGTTCCCAATTAGAGCCACTGGGAAATTGCACCCCACCACAGAGCAGGGCTTTTACTCTCAGTGCATGTCCACTGAACTGAACTGAGGTAACTTTGGTGGGAAGGTAGTTCTAACATTGCAATAACACGATAACAGAGTACATAAAATATCCTTGCTTTTCCTCCAACGTCTTTAAATGGCGCTTCTTCTCTGCATGTACTGTTTGGCATCTGCTTCCTTATAACATATGGCATTTTTCATTTTTCACAAAACTCTTTTTTTCTAAGTGCTGATTTAAAATTCTATACTAATCCACAGAGCATAATCCACAGAGCATGGTATTCATTTGGAAGTAAATACTAAAGCTTCCAAGGGGAAATAGCTAAGTAACGTAACATTTCACTGGAAGTCAGCGAATTAACACCATGGTTTTGCTTTATTAGTAAAAACTCTAAAGCACTGAAGGGTGGGAGAGAAGAAAATACTGAACATACAAATGACTTCCATATATATGACACACACACACACACCCCATCTACCAGGACTAATTATGGAAGACTTATAAGTTTCATCTTTCATAGTTTTTTTTCCTGTTTTGAACCATCTACTTTTCTAAAAAAATAAAATAAAAATGTCATTTATAAAACCATTTGGGATTCCTTATTTTTGTTAACTAAAAAGTTGCTTGTATATTTTATGAACCCACTCAACTTAAACAGATCTCTTTAGAAAAATAATGTGGATATATTTTGCTTTCTACAGCCTGAAGAATATTAAAATAGAAATGCTTTCTTGAATTCCCTTTTCTGGCTCACATTACTAGGTGGTCCCAAGTTACCAGAAGTAAAATTTATAAATCTAACCCCTAGTCTAGACATTTTCCAGCACTGACTGCAGTTCAAAAAATATTAATGTCTAGCCGGCAAAGTGAAATTCCCCCCAGTGATTTTGCAAATGACTAGAAAGTTAACCTTTTGCCAACTGCTCCTTCTGTGTGTAGAGGTTATTAAAAAGAATCCAGGCATTTAGAAGCACGGGCTTTTAAAGGCTAAAACACCTTGGCTTGACCCTTTGTGTCTCTTTCTGTTTATCCAGGCTTAGCCTCTGTGGCTGGAATGTGCGAGCCTGAACGGAGCTGCAGCATTAATGAAGACATTGGCCTGGGTTCAGCTTTTACCATTGCACATGAGATTGGTCACAAGTGAGTGCATTTAAGAAAATCAAAATAAAGTGTAGAACTCCACTCTTGAAACCACTCACTAACTACTGTGTGGGAAGCCTGTAGTCAAGTCTTTTTTACAGCCCTTTTGACAGTTTTCAAGAGAGACTGTTATCATCTGGGGTACTGGGATAAATCTTCATGAGAACTGGAGACTTGTTAAATAGACAAACATATCTCACTTGAGTGTTGTTAAGGGCACTTAGAACAGTGAGCTTTAGCTATCTTCTCAACACTTAGTTCCCTATGAAATCCAATTGTGTAAACAATCTCTCTTTTTCTCAATGATAATGTATGTGTTTTGTCTTATGGTTCTTTGCTTCAGGTTTTTATTTCCTTCCACCCCACTTTTTTTCATTTTATATTTGTTATTATTTTGTGAGACTGAGTCTTGTTCTGTAGCCTAGGCTGACCTTGATCTAGACAGGCTGTCCTGGAAGGCATAGTAACCCTCCTACCTCAGTCTTCTGAGTGTTGGGGTGACAAGGATGAGCCACCATTTCTGGCTATACTATTTTTTTACACTATTGACACTACTTCCTTAAAATGAATATTTGACTTGACCCTTCATGAAGCTGGAGGCTTCCCTTCTATAGGCATAATGTTTACATAGCCATTGCTACAAACCTTTGTTGCCAGGTGTACTCACATGCCACCAAAAAAATGGGAGAGCTCAGCCTTGGTTTTAAAGAGGGCCTTAAGTTGTTGATATTTATTTCAAATAAATCAATGCTGGTTTTTAAAAGTGTACTTTCAATCAACCCCCAGTGGCAATAAACCCATCATTTAAAGAGCAGACAAAAGTAAATTAAGTGTGTCTGTTCATGAGAAAGGACAGCTTTGACAATAGTCCCTGAATTTCGGACGTTTGTGTTCATAAGAGTGGAGGATGACCTTTCCTAAGTGTTCAATGGGATTCAAACTAATGCTCTCATACAAGAGAACTAAAGAAGAGTCTCTGTTTAATCACAGGCTTAGCTTTTGAGCCATCTCCTCCCCTTTCTCCTAAGACAGAAACTGTTACTATTTAGAAAAGGGCTAGCTGTATCTACTAGCTTAAAAATGGACTGATAGGTAGTTTGAGTAATATGTAGTTTTAGTTGAGACAACAGTCTACTTGTGGGAACTCATGTTTGTATGATTTTAGTTGATGATCTACATTTTTTAAGTGGTGAAGTGGGTGAAAAATAAAATAACAATAAAAATCAATATTTATACTCCGGGGGTATTCCTGAGAAAAACCCACAGTTTGGGATCCTTTCTCCCCCCTTTTTTTCCTTCCTTTACTTCTAACTTCTTTCTCTCTCTTCTTCCCCCTTTCTCTTTTTCTCTTTATGTTAAAATTAAGCTCTAATTAAATGTGGGTCTTTTTGTTTCCTATTAAATTTTTTAAAATTGGAGTTGATTTGGGTATAAATTAAAGTAACCATCAAGTTTTAAACCTGACTGGACTCAGACAGAAAAGTCTTTGCTACACATTTAATGAGGTCTTTAAAAATATTGGCATTCCAGTTTCCATTGCAACAAAAAGCAGAGAACAAAGGGAAAAGCTCTCCTAACCAGGCAGTTCATCTTTAACTCACTCAAAAATCTGGCTCATTAATGACTGTCATAATCTTAGGCAACCAAGCCAGTTTTTGGTTGGATATTATTTATTTATTTATTTGAGACAGGGTTTCACAATGCAGATCTGCCTGCCTCCACTCCCAACTAAGCGTATACCACCATGTCTGGCACCATCCTAGGCTCTGTTAGGGTCGCTTATATTAAAAGGTTCAGATACAGACTATGAATAATGTGTTATGAAAACACTGTCATCTCATGCAGTCATGGGTTAGTCTAGATCAGTGCCTATACCTGCATTCTATTCTTGTTTTTGATCTTTTTAAAAAAATATGTATCTGGGTGTTTTGGCCTGCGTATATGTATGTGCACTATATGTACGTCTGGTGTCCATGGATGCTGGAAGACGTCATTGGACTGCCTGGAACTGTAATTAACAGATAGTCATGAGCCACCATGTGGATGGGAGGAACCAAACCCTGGTCCTATGCAAGAACAAGTGTTCTTTATTGCTTTCCCATCGCTCCATGCCCCCCCCCTTTCAAATTCAAATAGCTTAGGTAAAGTTTTATCTTTTGTCATATCATTCACTAACATTTTCATTACCTCTCAAGCTTTCTAGATTTTATTTGTTTGTTTGGACAGCCCTTTGAAAAAGTCCTCAAATTAATGGACTTTACATAGAAATGTTGTGAGAATGTAGACTATTCTTCTCAAGTTGGCTCCTTGAAGTAATGTCCTTTAACAATTAATTTTTATTTGAAAGTGTGCTTAAAATGGAGTATGGAAATTTCACAAAATCCTTAAGATTGAGAGCTAGAATGCTTCCATTCTGATATACCATTTGATAGGAAGAACAGAACAAAAACAAAGCAACCATCTGTTTTCCATGCACAGAGGATTATTATGCTGATGTTTTCTCATCCCTCCCCTCTTTCCCTGGACCAAGAAGCAGGACACCTTCACCTGTTAATCATTTAATGTGTGAGATTATTATTCGGTTAGGGAAAATCTTTTTTATGAAGGTCCCTTTACTTACTGCTAAGATCTTAGTGCTTAGCTTTCAGTAACTCAGCATATCTACTCTGGTACAATTCATGCTATCATTAAAACATAGAGACACAGCCTGGAGAGATCGCTTAGTGGTAGTGAAATGACTGACATCTTAAAGGCTTTTGGTTTGATATTTGATCCTTGGCACTTTGTTAAATTCCTCAAATCAAACAAGAAAATGTGTGAGGGCACTTCTTCCTGAAATAAAGTGGCTGCTGTAAGAATGCATCAAGTATATTTTCTGGTTTGAATGTCCTGGCCTTTGCCTCCCAGCTAAGTGTGTGTCACGATGTGATTTTATCATTTAATGCAATGAACTTTAAGCAATAGGGTGATACATGTAGATTCCTTACAGTAAGAATCTTTGATTATTATTAAGAAGAGCCCTTTCTGAATTAATAGAATGTGTGAATAATTTTCTACCTTTCAAAATTTATTTAGAATGTTTTGTGCCCAATTTGTATTTTCATTGAAATGTAATACCCATTTTAAATGGGTGTGTGATAATGTTTTTATTTGGATAGATCTTAACTAGGAATTCTCTCTTTCTGAACACATGAGCATCTGTGCATGTATGTGTGTGTGCACATGCATGCTTGTGCCTGAACCCATGAATGTGGAACCCAAACACACTTGGATGTCATTCCTTAGGTACTGCTTTTTGAGGCGAACTCTCTTATGGCTGTGTAGGCTAGGTTGACTGACTAGTGAATTCCAGGTATCTCACGTCTCAAAGCTAGGATTGCAAATGTGTTGACAAATGCAGATCCTTAGAGACTGGGCCTGGCTTTTCATGTTTATACATCAAACAGTTTTCAGACTGAGCCATTCCCCAGCCCCACCCCTTTAAAAATGTATTCCTATACTTTTGTGGAAAACTAGAAATTGGTTTTCTTTTCAAATGGAATAATGGAGTATATGCTATGCTAAGTACAGTTTTAATGTAAGTTACAAAGCAAAGGCACTTGATAACCTCAAAGGAAGATATAGTTTTCTTTTGAAAGACTGTTTTAATTAATTGGGTGATTTTCAAGGTTTTAGAAGTTGAAAAAAATTATGATGTTAATAAGGTGGCAAGATTTCAATCAGACATCCTGTATTACAAAAGATCCCCAGTGTGTCTATTTGTAAAAAAAAAAAAAAAATGATATTAAAAACAGTATAAAAAGAAAAAAGTAATCCTTATTTTTAGGGATGCACATCAAAGTGTTTTTTAACTAAAATAACAGAATGTCTTACATTTGTCTTTAGTAAGGTTAAAAGATAAAGCAAGAAAAACATCTTGGGATTTGTTACAGTGATTATGAATAACCGCATTTGTCACACTGTTTTCTCTGCTTTTGTGGGTAGCTGACTTTTTCACACAGAAAGAACAGTCCTAGGATGATTTCAGGTGTAACAACTCCTTATTGCAATTGAATGGATATTTAACTTGATAGTTACACTTTGTTTTTATTTTTCAATTTGTGTGTATTATTTCTACATGGGTCTGTATCTATGTGTGTGGGGTTTCTGTGCACACACATGTGAAGGTCAGAAGTCAGTATTAAGTGTCTCCTATTTTTGACCTCCCTATTTTTTGAGAAAGGATCTGTTGCTAAACTTATAGCTAATCAGTTTTGGTTATGGCCAGTAAAATACTGAAACTATAAGTCTATATATTTCTCTACACATACATGTCCACATATTACATACTCACAATTAAGCGTTTACACATGCATAAATATTTTTATGTATAAATATCTCCCATAGTGGCTAAAGCAATAATGCTGGTATGAGGATATGCCTTAGAAAAATTATTATAGCGAATTATTTCATAATTAAGGCTTTGTTACTTTTGGTACTAATGACAAAAGATTAGCTAAGATCAAGCTGATGATCATTGTATTCTGGACCTGAGATTTCAGAATAATTGTGTGTGTGTGTGTGTGTGTGTGTGAATGTGTTTATTTGTATGTGTACTACAAAAATAAACTTTTTAAAATAGAATCTCATTATTTTCAACTTTAGAAACTTGGTTAAATTAGTTCATTCATTGTCCTGGAAAAACAAATAAATGAATTTTCAGATTGATAGTATCATGCCAGTAGACTGACAATTTCAGCTGCCATGAACCAAATTAGTGATTTTGATGTACTGGACTAAGGAAGGTTATAATGGCAACAGTTGCATTATTGCACTTGCATTCCTTGTCTTTGCAGTAGGTGTTCCATTTAACCACATATGCACACTGCAGCTTACCCGACTTAGTAGACATACTAATAGTGGAAGGATAAATGTAAATAGATTTCAGTGATTCTATCAAGTTTTAGAGATCTAAGCCTCGGCTTAGAATATTTATATCAAATATGAATATGGTTTTGTGC